TGTCAATTTTCTCCTTCGTGAATTTATCTCACTGCCTTGTCAAACTGGCCAGGTGGGAGATCTTCTAGCTGTCTTGCAATTGCAGATTCCGTAGGGCAGATGTGTGCTGTGTGAACAATCCCATCATTTTGTCCATCCCAAATCTCTCACCCTTCAGTTTCCTTCAGCCTCATCCGCAGTTTCAGTATTTTAGACAGAAAGAAAATCTTCAATTCCATTCTTTCCTGTTTCCCTTTGTGCGTAACTTGACACACAAATCTTAACAATTCTGTAGTATTCCCACTGGGGTAGATTCTCTGAATTGTCAGACAGAGGCTGTTGTGAAGTTCTTTAACTGGAGATGGGAGTCCAGATTCAACCACACCTGGAGGGTGGCTTAAAGTGCCAAGCCCTATCTAAACCTCGCTTCATTTCCCATCTGCCCAACTTCTCATTAATAAACCAGATTTTTATTTCTACTAATAGACAATCTTATTTTATTCTTTTCTGTCGTGATGTCATCTACTGAAACTCTGTCTCACCTTGAGGATTCATCCGCCCTGAATCCATTCCAGGGAATGTTGTAGCAGCTCTTCCCAAAATCTTTAGCTGTTGGAGTTGCAATGGAATTGAACTTGGCGAACTCCATCATGTTCCCCGCTATGAAAAGCACTTGGGGAAAAATGATATTGTTCACAGCAAGGCAAGCTTGCTCTTAAAGAAAAAACTAGCTTCCCACTCCAGCTAGGAACAATAATATACAGCAATAATAGATTTACCCCTCAGGTTCTGGTAGAACTGTCAAGATAATAACAACTCATTTTTATAACGTCAACCAAGCTGTGCTGAAATCTGGGGAGGAAGTTCAATAAGTGGGAAGTTTCTTCTAGTTTGCCGGCTCTGTGTTGGTTTTCTGAGCTGGGAAGACTTGAAAAGAAAGACCATCAGAGCTTTTTCACCCGAGTCTTCTCACATGCTCTACAGAATAAATGCCATAATCAGAAGGTCAAAAGCCACCTTGTGCCACACGAAGCAGGAAGCTAAAAATAGGATTGGAAGCCTCTTGATTCTTGGCTGAATCTAGTGTGGAAGATGAAGGAGAAAATGGTTGAAACAAAATAGACACTTACAGAGGAAATATTTTTCCTGCCTAGGAGAAGAGGCTACTGGAGTTAATGCTGAGGGATGATTCCAAAATTGTTTTGCCCCACTTTGCTACACTATAAGCCTTTGCTCGTCTTTCAGAAAGCCTTAAAGACCTAACCGAGCTGCCCAGAGCCACCCACTGGGGAAGATGGGTGGCCTACAAATTTAATAAACAAACAAACTGGTTTCACTGGCATGGGGGCCAGTAGAGTAACAAGCCCACATTATGGGTAAATGGTGTATTTAGGACAGTGATGGCGAACCTATGACACGTATGTCAAAGGTGACTGGCCATGACATTTTAGGTGACACACCAGCATTCACCAACACCTGACCACAACTATTCTGCCTGTTTGAGTTACCAAAGAAACTGAGTTGTTCTACTCGTATTTCATTTTTGTAATGGTTCCGCGTTTCTTTATATAATATATAGCACCACACAGGATTGGACTCTATTTTTTTTAAATACTGTAAATGAATATGTAAAGAATTGTTTCTCTTTTGTTATGGGGTGGGGGGGGTGCCATGCCAGCAAAGTCAAGTTAGGCATTTTCTGAATTTCTGACACGCCAAGCTCAAAAGAGGGACAAACTGGCTGAAGAACAGGGCAACATAATACAGGGATGCTGTAGAAATTGATGTTAAAAGAGCTTTTTGGAGGAAAAAATCCTGGGCCTTGCATTTCCAAATACTTTCTTCTGGATATTTTATCTCAGTGCCTTGCTATCGTGTGGTGTGATGGAGACATCTGAAATAACATCAAGGTATGGGCCTAGTGGTTCTCCCAAAGCCAATTCTGCAGTCATTTTCCACCAGTGCTTTGCGAGTGATCTTGGAGGCTGTTCCTTTGAAGAGGACTTTCAAGGCTGTTTCTCCCTTCTGCCCTAAAATCATAAATCCGGGTAGACATAAACATTTGGCTCAAGGACTACAATAAATTTGGGAAGTTAAGGGAAAGACTTTGATTTGTTGAATTTCTCTCTGGGTTCTAGAGAGCCAAAAGCGTGTTGGGCTTGGCGCATGAGAGATTCCCAGTTGAATGGATGTACTTTGAGATGAGGAGCTGAAGAGATGTCTAACTAGGTTTTCCTCTTTTTTTTTTTTTTATTTTATTATTTTATTTATTTTTCTGTTTCACCCTCAAGTCAAGCTTGAATCTTGGTAACTCTGCAGACACGTTAATGTGGGTTTGTTGTTGTTTTTTTGACAATGGCATGGAATGGTTTGGCCTTCCTTCTTCTAAGTTATGGAATTCAGTGCATGATAAACCAAGCTTACAATTAAGCCATCATCACCTTCAAGTTTGGATATCCCACTAATGTTTTCTGAATGGATGAACTTCCAACCAACTGACTGGGTGGCTGAGTCATTTGGATGAAACTTTTCTTATCAAACACAGCTGGCCTTGAATTTATCTTCTTTTTAAGGCTCAGACCAATTCCTAAGGAAGTAACTCAATGAAATGGGCTGCAATAATGTAGTACAGGAAATAAATCTAATCTCTTACATTGACTCTTAGCAATCCAGGCAAATGCATATTGACTCATTCCAATGAACTTGGGATTCTCAGCATAAAAGTAACACTTGAACCCTTCCCTCTCCAGTTTGACCATCTATTCTCCTCTACTAAATATCCTAGAATCCAATCATTTCAGTCTGTGCCACCTGGTGATGAAAAGCTAGGCATCAGAATTAAGAAACGAACCATATTTTATAAAATTCTTCATGCACACTATATATAGATTGCTTTTTCCCTTTTGGGCTGACAAGCAAACTTAAACACCATTCCTTTCCAATGTTGCGCCCGACTTGACATTCTCCAGACAGCCATGCTATTCTGAGAACCACATTCCTAGAATAATCCTTTATGGCGTGTGTTCCTTCTTTTGGAGCTAAAAATAAAAGAAGGTGAAAGGAAGGTGGGGATTCTGAAAGGATGCAGAAAGCATCTTGGTTGCATTCTGCCAAATCATTGGGGGTATCATTTTCAAATTAGATGTTATGTTGCCAAACCATTATTGATCTAATTTTCTCTGCAAAATGCTTATTAATGTTATCTTGTTACCCCTTGATGCATATGGCCTTGTGCAGCGGGAATGGCAGACTGTAATTGTCTCTTGGCAGAGAATTATTCATATTTTCCTATCTTGAAAAGAATGAACAGCATATGCAGTTACACTAATGACTTCATTTCTGAAGACTTCATGTACTGTGTGTGTGGTGTTCGTAACGTATTATAGCTAGATTAACAATCATTCATTTTAAATATCCCATTTAGAAAAGCTTGTTTTGCTTACTAAAGGCAAATTTTTCTCTCTCGCTTTCCCTTTCCCTTTTCTTCTTCTTCTGAGGCTGCTTTTAAAAAAAAGAAATCCATGGGTGCTTCCCCCTGCCCCTTGCTGAAAATAGGTTGGATCCTTTCCTTTCCTTTCCTTTCCTTTCCTTTCCTTTCCTTTCCTTTCCTTTCCTTTCCTTCCTTCTCTTTCTTTCTCTCACTTATGTTTGCCACACAAACTAAATGAAAATAAGAAAGGCTACAGAGCCAAAAATGCATTGCCTTTTGCAGTGCAACCAACTGTTTAAAAAGTTGGACATTATAAACTGGATACTCCAAATCCAGAAATTCAGGATTATTGTGTTACCCTGGAGTGACTGCATATTGCATCACAATATTATAGTAATCTGTTTCCTTGATGCTCACAAACATTGCTTTTAGTCCATTATTCTGTTATCCACCTAAAAACACTGCCACAAAACAACCACAAAACTCTGCATCAGTTTCAGTGGCTCCTTCCTTCAGTTAATTCCAGTTTATTGGACTGGTCCAGACAGAACTCAACAGAATGTCTCAAACAGAATGCCTTGCAAGGAAAGCTAGTTGCATGTCTCATCCTTGACTTGCACATGGGAATGTTCCAGCCACATAGCCCAGACTTTTGTACTGCCCCAGAAGGAATGGTTTTCCATTAGCACAGTCCACCAGGGACAAACCAAAGCAATGTCAACAGGTCAAAGAAGTTGTTCCTTAATCAGTTATGCAGATAATAATTCTTCAAGGGAAGGATGTGATTCAGAGCTTCCTATCACTACTGCCATCTTCTGTGTTCCATATCTCCACTTTTAAGAACAAACAGTGGCATCATACAGATTCAGAGATCAGGAAATTCATCCCCTTTTATTTATATCCATTACCCTTCTACCTACAAGTGGGAAGACATGAATAACACAGGGAGTACTCTACCCAATTTTCTCAATAAGTCATAATTCTTCCCCAAGTTCTGGTGCCGAACGCAAAGACAGTGCATCGTTTTTAACAAATAGAATTATCAACACAGTGAAAGGTGTTTTAAACATCTCAGGTTACCTTTATTCAATTCTTGTTATTTCTCCACATAACGAGTTAGTGAAAGTCACATCCTTGTACATGATTTCAGCCCAAACATTACACAAGAAATATGAATAGGAGCCCCTGTTAATCAACCATCCTTGTGATTCCAAGTGTTGGTTGTCACTTCTTGCCTGACAAGATCCTCCTTTTGAACAACTCTGTTGCAGGCCGGTCCTGTCCCAACAGCTGGTCCAACCAAGGAAGAACTTCATTAACTTCACTTTTGGGGTGAATGTATAGAGATGATCAGTGGGATAGCAGAGAGGAAACTTGAGTTACGAAACAATTACAATGGGAGGGAGGGAAACTGGCAGATTCATCCATCCTTATAAGTAGGGATCTTTATGCAAATGAATTTCCTTCAATTATATATAAAAAAAGAGAACAGTCCACAATAGCAAGAGCCTATCAATAAAATACAGTATCCAGCTAAAAGAATAGTCCTTTAGGAATTCATAGAAACTCCATTAAGGAAAAAAAATCTCCACTATGCCTTGGTTTTGGCTCTGTGGATGATCTTCAAGATGATGGGTTTCGCAGGTTTTGTGACTCCTTTTGAAATTAATACCAGTGGGATCTGGAACATGAGAGGTATGGACAAGATGTATTTAAACACGAGAAAATAAAATACAGGGAGATTCAGAAAAGAAATGGAGGAAGGTCTTGGTTTCTGCTTCTGTATAAACTCTACCAGGCAGATTTTCAAACCCATTGGGTTTTGCTGGCTGGGAATGATGGGAGTCAGAATTCACAAATTTGAGAGACCCCAGGTTAGGGAAGGCTGTTGGATCCTTTCTAGAATTACATAAGCAAAAAGTTGAAGGTGGGTCACTCTTTTAAGAATGTTCAGTCTACGGATTGTCCATCCCAAGTTGCTGTAGCATGTTGGAAGATAGATTTTCAAGTCTCATTTTGCCCTATAAATGTATTTCCTAATATATATAAATGTCTTAATGTGGCTGCATGGGGTTTTGATTCTTGTAATCCCATAATTGGACAATAAGGTTATCTGATTTAGAAAAAAAATACCCCTGTGGAGAGAATCTATCCCCTCTTCCATAGCTTTAGTTGAAGACAAGTGGTTGCCAATTAGCAGCTGGACATACTAGATGAAGAAGGGTTAGATGTACCCTTCAGAAATGATTCAGAAGAAGTGATCCAGACCTTGCATGAGTGCAGCACTTCACTATTCATTACGCGGAAGCCAGAAACAAGGTGGGCTACTTTAATGAATACCGGTGGTTCTGCACTCATGCAGCAAAGACCAAAGTGCTTGTTCCCAATCATTTTCAAAGCATGCTCAGATGTCGTTCCTACCTGTCCAAGGGGACAAGGCCACGTGGATGGGAATAGAGAAGTTTATTTCTACACTAGCAATGCATTTGCATTTTTTCCTTCTTGAATTGGATCCATAATAGAGAAGGAGGACAGAGATGGGTCAAGAACATACCATTTGGTTCCATGTCTCTATTTTTTTCCTGCTGGGAAGCAAGAGTCAAAGAGTTAAGCTACAGAAATGCAGGCTGCATCTTCTAAATACTTGTTATTATATCGACTGCAGGTGAAGCGTTACCTGTCGAGTGCTTACTCTCCAGAAGCGCTGTCTGCATGACACTTTCATTATACCGCCTGTCTCTGCTACTGAGAAAGAAAGGGGTGATTCGGTGCCAACGTGTTGTTTTCCCCCTACAGATGAGCACAGCTCAATTCCAGTTCCTCACCTGAGTTTCTTTGCAGGGCTGGAAGGTGAAATGCTGCAGGAGGCTGGCCACAGTGGCCTTCATGGTAAGGAGGGCAAATCTCATCCTGATGCAGTTCCTGGGGCCAGCTCCGAAAGGCAAATAAACATAGGGGTTGATACTTTCTTTGACCTCTTTGCTGAATCTGGTGGGACATGCCATCATTCCATGAATTGCCATGGTCAACCACTCATTCACTCCAAGAGCGAGTTGCCTCTCATTTGGGCAAGTGGCATCTGTTCTGAACCCTTCATTGGTGGAACCTTTCAAGTGGATCTTTGGGACAGCAGGCTATTCAGGGGGGCAGGATGGGAGAGTTGTAGGATGGCCCTGTCAGCCCTTCAAGATAGCCCAGACCAGGAAACCAAAACCAGGAATACTAATAAAACCTTTATTGTAAGGTTACAATACCAGAAGCAAGAAGACGGAAAGTGTTTCTCCCCTTCCCTACATTTACGTTCCAGAGAACTAGGAAGGGTCCTTTCTGAGACACTTCCTCCACCCCCATTCCTACTTTGGACTCAGATTTATCTTATCAGACCATTGTGTAAGCTTCAGCTACTTCTTCCTGCTCTCAAGGTTATTCTCACACCCCATTACAGGCACCTGATTTCTCTACCTTATGAGCAGGCTAACCCTGGCAATTGGCCCAATATCACCAAGCAAGCTTTCTGTCTGGAAGTTTCAACCCAGTCAGATTTTCTTACTTCCAGTCTTTGATTGTGAGGACTGGAAGTAAAAAACAGAGAAATATAAAAGTGTACTTTTCAGGTCTAAATTGTTCAGGTTCAGGCCAGTGTTCTGGATCACAATGCAAGACATCGGGTGGAATCACAATCACCATCCCTTTTGGAATGGTGATTCTGTTTATCTCGATGGCTTTTTTGCACACTCTTTGTAGACGCCCAACCACTGGGTGCATCCAGAGGGTTTCACTGATGACCATATCAAGATAGTCCATTTGCATGAGGGTGTCATAGGTGACTGGAGCCTTTGAGAGAGAGGGAGACATAGAAAGAGCTTGCCCCTGCTTATTTTGGCCCTACCTAAGCCTAAAAGAGCAGATCTGTATCTAGAGCAGAAGAACCAAACTCATGGGCTCAAGAGAGTTCACTTCTGTGGCTTCCTGACATCAAATGAACATCCCAGACTAAAACCATCTTAGAAACAACACACGTCAAGCAAAACAGAGACCCTAGACAAACAATAATACATCAACCCCAGGCCTGGGACCAAAGCCAGGTTAGCTTCCTTAGCTTTTAAGATCAGCCAAAGTTAGCTAGAGGTTGCCACCTAACTGGATATCTATGTTAAGGCTACTCTTAGTGTCTGACCTCAGAGGATCAATCAGAAAGAATGGAGCATCAGCAGTGACTTGCTTTGTACAATGTTACCACAGTCCTATTGCTGTAGGTGGTGACATAGTGGTACTCTGGCAACATACACGCTATGGATTGCATGTTATAAAGGTGCAAAGTATAAAAAGTGTTTTATTGTTGTTGTTGTCAAGTTTTCCTTAATGTTTAGAATGTTCTCAAGGAGGCCATGATCTTAGTGCTTTGGTGTAGGACTCATGCCATTTTTCCAAAAGAAAGCATCAGCCCTTAATTCGGATAGCTTGGCGTTTGATCCATAGTTGTTCAGCAGCTGATTGAAAGGAATACTGCTTATGCTCAAAGAGCTACCTAATAGTCCATGCTACATCAGGGTGGAACTTAATGCGCATGGTTGAAAGCATCCTTGCATCACACTTGTGTGCCACCCATCTCGTTAGACAGAAACTCATCAATCTGTTCCTGCAGTTTTTGCTGCATGTCAGGGTGGATGGCCAGCTCATACATCAAATAGCAGAGGGTTTTGCTGATGGTCTCATAGCCAGCAAATATGAATACAATGGCTTGAACCAGAATCTCACTGTCAGTCAAACCTAGATGAAGAAAGGAAGAGAAAAAATTGAAGGTCAGATTCTGGATGCAAACAAAGCCTAAGTCAATGCACGTAGGAGAACATGCACAAGAACAGGGTCATTGTTCTTTATTGCTCCATTGGCAAGGCACAGTTTAACATGGTTTCCTACCATACTTAACTGGAGTTTATAGATGGGATAAAGAAATTATAAGTGACATCAAAGAAGATCTGAATTCTTACGAAGGCTGCTTATCTTTCTTTCTTTCTTTCTTT